TCAGGCTTGTACATTAAGAATATTTCAGTAGTCCTGTAAAGAGAGATACTGGAGACAGGGTAAGAAATTAGGAGGTGACTTTCTAAAATTGTATTTTATTTTGTCAATCAGCAAAAATCCACCTTCTCTCCCTCCCACCCACCCCAAGAATGAAGAATAAAAGAAAAACCCTTGCCACAAACATATGGGGGAAGGAAATGAGATGTGAACCAGGCCATTGTCTGGTTAGATGTTAGGGAGAAGGAAGAGTTCAAAGATAAATCGAAGCTTTCTAGCCGGGCTAGAGGATTCCACCAACAGAAATAGGAAGTGGGGAGGAAGCATGTGAATGTGGCAGGGGAAGTGAAACCAGAGGATACTTTTGTTTTTGTCCTTACTTACCTACTCTTGTTTCCATTCTCAAAATGTCTTTTAAAAATCCTGAGTTAATTTCCTGTTCAGCCACACTGCTCTCTTTAAGAAGTCTCTCTCTTCCCACCATATTTCCTCACTGCAATCATCTGTCTTCTCAATGTCCTTCTGGAGTGTTTCTCGTCTCTCTTCGGATGATTTCCTGGAGTGCAGTTTTCTCCTGTCTCTGTCCTTTTCATTTTAAAGACTTCGTGGTCAAATTGACAAGAATCCAGGCAAAGATGTTAGCCTCTCTTAGGTGGTACTCTATACCTTCCATTGTGTACATATCTTTATGTACCTAGTTTTTTACATGCTGTCTCCTCTAAGACTGTGAAGTCCTTGAGGGCAAGTACTATGTTTTTGCCTTTCTTTGTATCTCCAGTATTCAGCAGTGATTGGCACATAGTTAAACTCTTAACAAATGCTTACTGACTGCCTGGTTAAGAGCCCATCACTCCCTTATACTTGAAGCTGTGTCCAGACACCAAAATATAGTTTTCAGACACCATCTTCTCATCCAATTGTTCATATGTGGAATCCTTCCTTACCTTTCTATGAATACTTTGTAATCTATCTCTCAAAGTCTACGATTCATGACAAATTTTGCCTACTGCATAAACTCCATAATGATCATTTGCTCCTAAGGTACCCATCATTTCTTTTTTTTTTTTTTGCTTTTTGGTGAGGCAATTGGGGTTAAGTAACTTGCCCAGGGGTCACACAGCTAGTAAGTGTCAAGTGTCTGAGGCTGGATTTGAACTCAGGTCCTCCTGACTTCAGGGCCAGTGCTCTATCCACTGCGCCACCTAGCTGCCCAGTGCCTATCATTTTTATTTCAATAATGTTCCTCCTTATTGATCAGAATCGAGTCCATAATATCAATTCCCCTTTTGCTTCTTTCTTTTATAGGATGAAAATATTGATAAGACAAGCCAAGAGTTTTTATCAGTTATTCTACTTTCAGCAGAAAAAGAACTCCAGCAGACATCTGCACAGTCAAATTGCCTTCTGTTCAGGTTTGTAATCTGATCATGAGAAAGTCATCTGTACTAGCTGTCTCCAATTTCTTTCTTCTAATCTTTTGCAGTATGGCAACTGGACCTCTGGATCACTGTAAGTGATGAGACTGACTGTCCTCTCCAGAGGTAGCAATGATCTGCCAAATATACTGGCCCTTTTCCCAAATCTTCATCTTTCTTGACTTTTCTTCAGCATTTGACACTGCTGATGATTTTCTCCTCTTCGATACTCTCTTCTTTGAAATTTCCTGACACTGTTGTCTCATAATTGGCCTTTCATCTATCTGACCAGTCTTTGGTCTCCTTTGCTAGCTCCTTTAGTCATGTCCTGTTCTCTTTCTGGCCCTCCCTCCCCGCCCCCCCACCCCTGCCACCAACCCTAGCTGTCACCTTTGTGTTCATCAGCTCCCTTAGGTTCAATGATCATCTGTATGCAAGATAATTCCCAAACTATATATCCAGCCCTAGTCTCTCTCTCCTGACCTACAGTTAATCACCAAAACTCTCTCGGATAACATGAACTGGATGGCCCAAAGGCATCTCAAATTCAACATGTCCAAAACAAAACTCATTATCTTTCTCCCAAAGTTCCCTATTACCAACAAGGGCACCACCACCATCCTCCCAGTCACTCAGCTAGGTGGCACAATAGATACTGGTGAATCCGTGGAGTCGAAATCCTGCCTCAGACACATACTAGCTGGGGGACTCTGGGCAAGCTGCTCTCTTCATCTATAAAATGGGAATAGCACCTGCCCAAGGGTCATTGTGATGATGAAATGCAGCATTTTGTAAGAAGCTTTGCAAACTTTCATGTGCTACATAAATGCTATTAATTGTTCAGGCTCAGAACCTTAGTGTCATACTAAACTTCTCATCCTTATCTCAGCTATCCAATTCACTGCTGAATCATATTGTTTGTACCTCCACAACCTCCTTCCTACAGCTCCCTTTCTCTTCACTTACAGAGCCACTATCCTAGGTTGGACACTCATCACCTCTTTCCTGGACTATTGCAGTAGTCTTCTGGTTGGGCACCCTGCCTCATCTTTTCCCCTACAAACCATCTTCTATCACCTCCAGGATCAAATATAACTTTAAAGTTCTTCACAACCTGGCCTTTTCCTACTAGGGCAGTCTTCTTACATTTTATCTCCCTCCCTGTACTCTACGATCTACCTACATTGGCCTAGGAGGCAGTTCCGTGGATCTGTGGAGACAAGGCTAAGCCTGGAGTCGGGAAGACCTGAAATCCAGCTTCAGACATGTACTAGCCATGTGACCCTGAGCAAGTCACTTAACCTCTGCCTCAGTTTCCTTAGCTGTAATAACATCGTTATATGTAAAAATAGCACCTACCTCCCAGGGTTGTTGTGACAATCAAATGAGATAGTGCCTGGCACATAGTAGGCACTTAATACCTTCCCTATTTACAGTGCCTTTGAACACAATGCTCCATTGCTCATCTCCACACATTTGCACTGGCTTTCTCCTATACTTGGAATCCTCTTGCCCTATCACCCCCACTTCCTGATTTCCCTAACTTCCTCCTTCCCCTCTCAGATTAACTTGCATTTACTCCTATATCTTTTATGTACCTTGTCATTTTTTGCCCCCATCAGAATGTGAGCTCCTTGAGAGCAGATAGAGTCTTTTTTTTGGTCTCCTCAGCACTTAACATGGTTCAAGTATTTAGTAAGCACTTAATGCATACTGATAGTCAAACTCATCTTTTGACCAGTATCTATAATATACTCCTAAAATATTGCTTCTGTTTTGGCCTTCACTGATTACCTTTCTAAAATGCTCTTTTCCATGTTTCCACCCTTGGGTTCCCAGGTCTCCTCATGGATCTTCTTTATATGTCATGTTACTCCCATTGGAATGACTGCATTCCTTCTGAATAAAGGGCACCCTCCTTCAGAAGCCACATTCTAGTCCAATCTCATCCCACTAAGGCTCAGTGAGTGATACCTACATCAAATTTACCTCTTGTGTCAGGATCTCTAGTATTGCGGATTAGCTATAGCATACAAAAATGGATATACATTTATATGTATATATACTTGCATAAATACAAAAATGTTTATATGTATATATAAAATTATATATTGTATACTAATGTATATATATGTATATACAAATGTAAAAGGGTGCACTTTATTCAGAAGGAATGCACTCATTCCTATGGGAGTAACCTGAGGCTTATCAGTTTTATCGTTTCTCAGATATAGTCTCCTATGGATTACTGGTTCTCTCTTCTATTCTTGTAGGGACTTTGTATATAGCATCAAGCTTCGTACCTAAATGTTGGCAGGTTTTTTCTTTCCCCTTAAAGCCATTTTGATCAGATTCAATAGACTCCAAAGAAATCAATTTTAATTAGCTCTTTTTAGATGTATTTCATATCTGGCTAAGGGTCTATTATTCCTAAATTTTCTTTCCCCCTTCCCTGATCTTTCTTTTCTGAGTCCCTTCCCTTTTAATATTTATTTTAGCAATATGTCTTGTATTTCTTGATAAGACTTCATCTAATCCCTGTATCTATCCCACAGCCCAGCACAGTGCTGTAGAAGTCAGAACTTAGTAAACACCAAATTTCTCTGGCTGCTTCCATCCTCAAATTCTTACAGTAGATAGAATGGCCCAAGAGGTTAATCAGGCAAAGGCACAGCCAGGCAAAGAATTGTCATAACAGAAAGTCCAGGTGTTCTCTTAATTTTCCTTATTACAGTGCTCAGAGCAGAGAGATAGTCAATGGCCCATGTATGCTGTCTGAGAAGGGTAAATTCACTGCATTTCCTTGGATACAAAATAGTTCCCCCTTCATACTACCTGCTTTCCCTCCCAGTTTCCAGAAACTGAGCCTTATGAACAGAACTATTTTTAAAAAGTCCTTCCAACAGATTCGATCTGGAACCTAGAACCAACAGTAGCCACTGCTATGTTAAATGGGATTCCAAGCTAGCTCCATCAGACTTTACCTTTGGGAACTGAGGAATGAGAACATCTCTTCTCTACCACTTTGGCTCTCTGCCCATGTTTTCATCCTATCCCATGCTTCCCCCTCGTCCCAACTCTGATTTGTGTACCTTCATCTTACCAAGTGCCCAGATGAATCTGTTAGGCTTCGGCTGACCACGTGTGACTCACTGGCCAAGACAGCTCCGAGGGAAAGACCCTACAGCCCAACATGGGTTTAGGAGTATAGGTACTATTTCCCAAGGAGTTGTGGCAGCCCTTGTGGCTAAACACAACCTAGTTTCTTCACAGCAAACCACATCACACAGGATAGCACTGAAGTTTCTGTGTTTTGCCCCTGGTTGGCACTTAACAATTACGGAATGAACATAAATTGAATTGGGGACTCATGGGGCCTTTTAGCTAGGGATAAACCCAGGAGAATCCTATTTGCCAAACAAGTTGTGGGGATTTTTTTTGGACAAAACAATTGGGACAATTAGCTGGGTAATTCACAGAAAAAAATATCCTACTTCACCACTAGTTTCTCCATACTTCACAGTTTATATGACTTACCCATATAATTGCAATGTGGTTGAAGATAAATGAAGGCAATTAGCTCCTTACTTCAGGAATTCCTTTGCTGTTTACTGTCATCAATACAAGAGGAAGCCTGGTACAACATTAAAAGTATACTAAAGACTAGAAATCAGGGACCTGGGTTGGAATTCTGGCTTTGCTACCTGTGTAGCTGGTCACTTAACAACTACTAGTCTTAGTTTTTCCATGCAAACAGAACGTCAGAGTTCTCGTTCCCATTGTATTGTTTCAACTGTCTCTTTCATGATATTTGGAAATAGCCATTTAAATGGACTCATGCTACTGATATGATGGTTTAGCCCTGGACCTTTCCCACAAACCAGGCTAACACAAATTCAAGTATCTTCCTCCATGAGGCAGTATGGCTTAACAGCTGTGGGGAACCCCAGGCAAGTCACTTAATATCTCAGTTTCCCCCCATCTGTAGAAGAAGGGGCCTGGATTCAATGGCTTCTGAAGGTCCCTTCCAGTTCTAAATCTTTGATTCTAAAACTCTGATTAGGAATGGAAGGCAAGGCGTTTAAGGGAAGGCAGCCACCACTCTTCTGCATTTGTCTCAATTTTCCAGCTGAACAAGAAGGGCTTGAGGAGCTAGGGAAAATCCAGACCAGACAGCATTTTAAAGAAACTAGAATCACTTCTCTGGTCAGCCACATTCCTCTACCTGCCATTCTGCATAATACATATTCCTGAGACCTTGGATGATGATTCAGAGCCTAAAGTTCTCTGGAACAGGGTAGAATCACTTATAGAAATAGAAACGTCAGGCCCTTTGCTTGACCCTAGTCCCATTCCTAAACTTCAGGAGTTAAAAAGAGGTGGCAGTACAGATTCCTCTGTGTATAAAGAATAGTCTACAACCTTTTCAAGGAAGTGACATTTCCTCTCTTTCCTATAAAGTCTCTAGTTCAACCATGGGGATGGATTTTGTCCATCTGGGTGAGTTGAGATGTGTAGTAATGGTTACTGGCCCATGTTTGTTTAGTTGGGGATTCTCTGAAGCAGGGAGTGTGGATTCCAAAATAGAGTTGATAAATATACTTCAATTCACACATGGGGTCTCCATCCAAGGTACTCATATATGTACATCATATCTCACTTCTCACAACTCCTACAAAGTAGGGAAGTTAAGGAGACGAGAACAGCCAGGCCCACATGCTATTTGGCAATTGTCCATGGTCACTAAGTGAGGCCCTGGAAATTGGGCTCTGTACATTGGGGCAGGGCCATCTGCTGGCTCAAAAGTTTGTCCATGATGCTAATTTCAGCATCTTGCTTCCCGATGTTGTCATATGGAGTCCAGGAGAGGTCATGCTGAAGCTTGTAGGCACCAAGAAAATCATGTGGACAACTTTTTCCCCATTCCTAGAGAAGGCAAAAAAGTCAGATAAATGTACTATACATTTCTATGTTTAACTCCCCGCCCCCCACTTCACTACATTCTCATGCTGAGATTTCTATTATAGTTGTAAAAGTCAGTTACCTGAGAAACTGTCCAAGTCTGATATTTATATGCTAAGGTATGAGAATCATTCATCTGTCTCTAAGGTGGAAAGACTTTAATTCAAGAACCCCCCAGGACTGGTCAGGCATGGCTCATTAAATAGGGAATGAACTAAATTAATAATAATTAAGTTAAAACACTGAAATTACATTACATGGATATAGACGTAAATATGCACATATATATATACACACATGTATATATGTACATATGCCATGTATAAAGCTAAATTTTGAACTTTCCCCTAGATCTCTCTCTCTTTTTTCTTTTCTTTTCTTTTTTTTTTTTGCTTTTTGGTGAGGCAGTCGGGGTTAAGTGACTTGCCCAGGGTCACACAGCTACTATGTGTTAAGTGTCTGAGGCTGGATTTGAACTCAGGTCCTCCTGACTCCAAGGCCAGAGCTCTATTCACTGAGCCACCTAGCTACCCCTTCCCCTAGATCTCTTGACAATGCATGGGTACTAATATAGCACACATGGTGTCCATAAGTTATCTTTTGCTTTCTGTAAACGTGCTTCTCCTTTCACTACTTCATGCTGTTGAGATGATGCAATTCACCATCTCCCACAATCCTCAATAAAATTTTACAAATGAGTTTATGTCCTAAACTAGTGTTACCCTTGGCTAACATATCTGCCTGGCAAGATCCAGGTTTTGTTTGCTGAGTAAAGTAGTTTCTGGGTTTCTTTTGGTCTCTTATGACACTGATTTACATTAGTCAAATTTCCTTAGGAAATGGTGATAGTTTCTATCAATGTCTGGTCTTTTATCCATTTTCCATATTTTATCATCATTAGATTGTCTAAAAATGTCAGGCTGAAATTGCTTTAATTGCACCAAATTCCTACTTACTTTTATTATTCTAATTTGCTGTTGATTTTGATGTTGTCTCTAACAAGTCATCAATCTGACACGGACAGCTGCTTTGGAATTCTCCTCCTAGTTATTTCCTATTGGTTAATAGGTAATCAATTTCATTTTCCAAGATGTTATTCAATGATTGCCATGTTCTGTGCCCCGATTCTCCCCTTAAACAAAATATTCATGATACACGCATGTAGTCTTACATGCCTTTGGCCTCCTTCATTTCTTACTCCTGAGGCATATATTTTTCTAACGTATTTTCATCACCTTCTCTTACTGCCCACCTTCCCATGGAAGTCACTGAGTTAAGAGGGTCTTATTGAGTTCTCTACCTTCTCATTCTCTGCAACATGTGTTGGCACATAAGCTACAATTCCCTTTATGGTGTTTTTACAAACGTTCACAAGCATTTCAACAGATGGTCAAATGTCCCAGGAAATGATGCTTTTTGTTATCTTTGAATGAACCATAAAACCAACTTTGCCAAAGCCTTATCTGTCTGGGGGGGTCTCTGCGCAGTGTGCTAGCTCTGTAGTCAGAATTCCACCTCAGATGCTTATTGCCTGTGTGACCTTAGGTAAATCACTTATTCTCCCTGGGCCCGAGTTTCCTCATCTTTAAAATAAGCGGGCTGGAGGAAACAGTCTCTGTGGTCCCTTCCAGTTCAGCATCTATGACCCTATGATCATTCCATTCGCTGCCACTTCCTTCTATCTCCTGGTTTTATTTATAGAAAGACTGAATATTGATGTGATTTTCTTCCTCCAGTACCAGGTCTATTTGTTGGTCACTGGATCTCATACAAAGCTTAATGTTTATAGATGGTGTAAAAGCAGAAAAGGGGCCACATTAAGACTCAGGAGCACATCTTTTTCTTTCTTTCTTTCTTTTTTTTAAGTTATCATAGCTAACGAATTAATCACTTTGTGGAAAGCCTACTTGTGACAAACCTTCACATACATAGCTAGTTGATCCTTGGAAATCAGAGTCTGTTGCTAGGACTATACTTAGGCTCACCTTTCCCTCCCCCCCCAAAAAAAAATTCCCCACAAAATGTGAACAGCCCTTTGCCTTTGGCAGTTCCACAAATGCCTTCTTGTGGGTCTCACAAAGATATTTCTTAAAGGACAAACTGACTCAGTTGTTTGCTCAGCAGGATCCTGTCCCACACTGACCAAGAATGCAGTCCTCCTACCTTGGGTGAAAGGATGGAAAGGTACTGCTGTCCATTCTCTCGTTTATAGAGGTAGTAAATATTTCCAGGTTTTTTCACCACATTACAAGCTACGTGGTGCAGTTCAGCATCTCTCTGAGCCTCTTCCAATACCTGGGTACCACAAAAAAACAACAAAAGAAACAATGGACAGAATCTGTACTCACAGTCATCCAGCTAAAATTCTACATATTTTTATATCTGAAGAGGGCTTTGGTTTTCTGGCTTTTCCCACAATAGTGAATATCAAACTGAAATATTTGGGAAGTTTTGAAGATCTGAAAACTAGACTATTTTTAATACACAGCACTACCCTGACTCTTCTCTCAATCAAATACTACCTTATTCTCAATTTTGTCTGTTATGGTCCCTTAGTTTCCACTGGTAATACTTTTTTTCATTAAATATGCCCCCACCTATATACTTCCCAGGAGGATTAGGAGGATCCTTTTTGTGTTTGCATCCCCTATCTGGTCCAAATAAGTCTTCCTGCCCATACCCACAGATGGTGCTTACCTTGCCTTGAGAGAGATGAGCTATGACCGACTTACATGTTTATATTCTAACAGGTTTGTTTGCAAATGTAACTGGAAGAGCATGCCCTAACATAGGAAACCCTATTAGAGAATTATGCAATAGTTGCCCATGTTAGGACACAACTTTGTAACACTTAAGGCTTTACTTTGTAACGCTGAGGACGGAGGTTTTTGCTAGATTAGGTTACTTGAACTGTATCAAAATCTTTATCCTTTGTGTCATTTCTTTTCTTCCTAAGAGCTTCCCAAACTGGATGAAGGCCTGACCTACAGAACTAGACTCTGGCCTGAACTGTTAAATTGACTATGTCACAATTTCTCCCCACCTCACCCTCACTCCACTGCCTACTGATCTGACAAAGCTACATGGTTAATACTTGGTTTGCTCGAGCAGACTGTCAGTTATATATATATAAAAAAAAATTCCAACTCCGGCCTGGAAAATAAACATAAAAAAATAAGAAGCCTGTCCCCAAACCCTGGGAACAAAAGCAATATTTTCCTTACCTTCCTGGCCTGTGTTTGCAAATGCCGGATTTGCTCAGCTATAACTATCAGCTTGTTGGTAGCATTTGCTCTGATGAATTCATCAGCCTGTGAAAGAGAAGAAAACTCACCAAAGGCTTGAAAGGGCTAAAACTCATAGAGAACCCTTATATAAACATACATCTATTCATCAGGCAGGCAGGTAATAAGCATTTATTATAAGTCCTTACTATGTGCCAGGCACTATACTAAGAATGGGGGATACAAAGAATGACAAAAAATAAATAAATAAAAACCACGACCAACAATAAACAAACCATGGTCTCTGCCTTAGAGAAGTTCACATTCTAATGGGAGAGACAACATGCAAAAAAAACCCAAAACATGCAAGATATACATAGTAACATCACAAGGAAGGCAGTAGCAGTTGTGGGGGTGGGGGTGGGATAGGGAGGAGGGAGAATGGATCACCAGAAAAGACCTCCCTCAGAAGGTGGGATATGAACCATCTTAAAGGAGCCAAGAGAAGAAGAAGTAAAGAGTCAGAGCATTCCAGGAATGGCATATTATCACTGAAAAGGCATGGAGCTAGGAAATGGAGTGTCATGCTCATGCAATAGCAAGCCTGTGGAGGACAGAAAAGTATAAGAAATCTGGAAACATGAGAAGGATATAGGTTATGAACAGCTTGACAAGAAAACATCAGATTTTATATTTGATCCTGGTGATAACAGGAAACCACTAAAATTAACTGAGTAGGGGAGTTATATGCTCAGACCTGCACTTTAGGAAAATGACTTTGGTGGCTGAGTGGAGAAAAGACTGGAGTGGGGAGACATGAGGCAGGAAGACCAACCAGAAGATTATTGGAATAGTTCAAGTATAAGGTGATAAGGGTCTGCAGGGGTGACGTGTGAGTGTGTGTGTGTGTGTGTGTGTGTGTGTGTGAGAGAGAGAGAAAGGTACTATGTTAGACACTAAGAAAGACAGAAAAATAATTACAGTTCATACCCTCAAGGTTCTTACAACTTAAAGTTATCCTAACAATTCACTAGTGGAAAGAAAAATAGCCACAGGCATCAGATCTATGCTCTAATCCTGGTTATGTCACTTATCAACCAGACAATATACATTTATTACATCATTTATTAAGTGCCAACATGGTCCTAAGTGCTTTACAAATATTATCTCATTTGATCCTCACCACAACTCTGAGAGGTAGGTGTTCTTATAATCCCCCGATAATGTTGGAGAAAACTGAGGCACAGAGGTTAAGTGACTTGCCCAAGGTCAGAACTCAGGTTTTCTTGATTCCAGGCCCACTGTTCAATTTGACCTAGCTGCCAGAGGAATACTATATCCCTTCCAAAGCACATACTCTGCATTTTTTTTTTTAGTATGAGAAAATATGGAAGGATTAGCCCTAGCACAGAGCGATATATTAAAGATCTACTGGGGACCTCCTAACAAACTCTATATAGCCACCAGGGGAAACTCCAATAGGGCCAGATCCCTTGACATTCTATACATATTCAAAGTAAACAGGAAGAACTCTGAAGCATTCCTATGTAACTTGAATTCTCCAATTAGATTCCCTAATCTGTGCTTCCTCAGCAATTATGTTCCTAAATCATTTAATTCAATCCTTTATCATTTCAATCACCTGCTACAGGCAATGCATTGTGCTAGGAAAAACTGATGAGTGAACAGACTAGTCTCTGCTTACAATCTAGTAGGATCCATTTGATGTTCTAGAGACTTCCCTCTAAAATAAAGATGCAAATGTAAAGTAAATAAAATGTCAATGTAAAGCTCTCCTGTGTACCAGTGGGTTACTCAGGCTGTTAAGTTCCCTCACTCCTGCCATATAATCAGCCTGCTTCCTTTTCTGATCTCACATTTCTTTGATGATATCTCTTATAACTACTTATTTTATGGAGATCATTATTGGTATAAAGGCATTTTACAAATTAGAATATATAAGCACACAAGGAATATGAAGTGCAATTTTAACTGTTTATGTGATATATACATATACACATATTACACACACATACACACATATATGTTATATGCTACTCAATGTTACCTAATTGTTCCTTGCATATCTCTTGCATGTGTCTTGCCTCCCCAACTAACCCCCCCATAAAAGGACCAAGTCTTATATTCTCTATTTCTGCCTCCTCCTCCCCACAAGTAGCAAATAAGACAATTCTGAGAATATAGTAGATACTCAATAATTGCCATTGACTGTCCATAGAATATTTACACAACTAGCATGTAAGCTTGGAAGGTAAAAACTGTGCCTTCTATTCTAGGCCAGTTTTCTGTACACTAGTCTGATACTACACCACTGATCTACCTGGATAAATGACCATCTTTTGACCCACAGTAATACTTTTCTTCCCACTATAGAAAGTAGAAGATATGAATCATAGAAAATCATGAGTTTTCCTTCACTGGAAAAAGGGGCCAAGAATATATCAAAGGTGCAGGTGGGGAAATTGGCTACCTGTATTTACTATCATTAAGGCTCTGTAAGGCAGATGAAAAAAAAAAGAACAGTTTTCATAACCATGGTCAAGTAACACGGTGTTTATAAAACACAAGTAAATCTTTAGGGGTAAAGTGCAGAAGAAACACTGTGTGATGAAATTTCCACTGCAAATCCATGTGAGACTGAAAACTGAGGGAATTTGGGAAAATCACCTATTGTACTGTTATCCATAGGTATAGTAGCCCCATACTAAGACATTTCATAGACTTTTTGAGTGAGATCATCTAGTTGAACCCACAACTGAAGGCAACAATGATACTATGAAAAGAACATTGGCTCCAGTCAGAAAACTATGGATTCAAATCTCATTTCTAATAACTTCTATCTGTACAACCTTGGGCAAGTCACTTAACCTTCTTTCAGTTTCCTCAAAATGGAAAGGGTTGGATTTGAAGGTCTGTGAGGTCCCTTCTGGCTCTGATCATTATCAACAAGCAATTTATTAAGCACCTGCTATATTCCAGGCGCCATGCTAAGCGCTGGAGATACAAAAAAAGGCAACAATAGTCCCTCTGCCCTCAAAGAATTTGCTGTCTAATGGGGGAAACGTGCAAACCGCTAAGTATAAACAAGATATATAAATATCTAAACATCAGCTCTGCCCACCATCATCAGGAAACAGACAAAGGTCTCCCCAACCTCCCAAGGACAGATTCTCCTTAATCTTGCCACAGGTTAGGACACCTTCCTCCATCCCTCTTTCTCCTCCCAAAAAACGCTACGGGCTTTCCCTATCCCCACAAAGCTCAAGTCCTCCCCTTCCATTCTCCGCACAAAAAAGTCAGGTCCTCTCTAGCCTTGACCCTAAAAGCCAGGTCCTCTGTCTCTCCTCCTCTCTTCCTCCCTATCCTGCCAAAGTCCAAGTCCTCTCCCTCCCCCTCCCCCAGGCCAGGTCCTTCCCTTCCCTCTCCCACAAAGGCCAGGCCAGGTCCTCCCCCCACCCCACCTCAGGTCTTCTGTCTCCCCCTCCCTCCCTCCCACCCCCCAAGTATTTTCTCTCCCTCCCATCCCCCTTTCACCACGAACCACGTATTCTCTTCCCCCCCGCCGCTCAGATATTCTCTCTCCTCCTCCCTCCCACTTCCCCAGACATTCTCTCCCCTCTCTCCTCTCTCCCACCTCCCCAGGTATTCTCTCTCCTCCTCTCTCCCACCTCCCCAGGTATTCTGCACCCCACCTCCATATTCTCTCCTCCCTCCCACCTCCCCAGGTATTCTCTCTCCCACTCCACCTACTTTCCCCTCTCCCTCCCTATCCAGGTCCTCTCTCCTCCCTTCTCCACTCCCCTAAAAGGCAACCAGGTCCTCCCGCCCGGGTCCCCCTCACCTTCTGAACCTGCTGGGCGAGCTCCACGAGGTCTTCGGGGTTCCCCAGGCGGCGGGCGCGGTAGGGGCTCACCAGGCCGAGGGAAGCGGGCTCGGTGGAGACGGTGGGGCCGCAGTGGCACTCTACGGGAGTCTCTGCGGGCGAAACATGGGCCCTGAGCACATGGGCGACGGGCGCCAGGCACTCCCCTCTACCCAGCCGCCCCGAGCCCTCCTCACCTGGCAGCGGCTCCCTACCCGCGCCCCCCACGTCCTGTTCGGAGACCGCCGCCTCAGCAGCCGCCATGCTCCCTGCAGGTGACGCATGCGCAGTGAGGAAGAGGCGGCTGCGTCCTAATAGCCGGGGTTCGTCAGGGGGCGTGGTTTTGAGCTGAGGTCGCGCCTCCAAGGGCGGGGCAGACGGGACTAGGCTAGCCACGTCCTGGGAAGGAAATTGGGCTTCGTTGTAGGGACTGGTGGCTGAAAGTGCCATTTAGGAAGCCCTCAGGGGCAGGGCTCTGCTCTAAAGGTGTCGCCTTCATTCCGAGGAACGGAGAAGATTAGAGGAATGGTCTTTCTATCTAGGCCGGGGGTGGGATTCCACCGTGGGGGCGGAGCTGCGTTCTGAGAGCTGTGGTCTGAAGGCTTACCTCCGTCCTGACAGGCGGTCGTAGCTACGATCTAGGTTGAGGAGGGGCTCTGCTCTGGGGAAAGACTTCTGACAATGGTGCTCTAGTCTAAGATTTCACCTCCATTCTAAGGGACAAAGAGAGGAAAGAGGAACCTGGGGGTGGTGAATCAGTCTGGGGCATGAGTCTAAGGGCAGGGCTCATCCTTTGGGCAGTCTGGGGGCGGGGCTAACCTGTGGGGGCGGTGCTTGAGTCTAGGGGCGGGGCTCACTCTGGGGAGGTCTAAGGCTTCATCCTGTGGGGGCGGTGCGTGAGTCTAGGGGCAGGGCTCACCCTTTAGGGCAGCCCGGGGGGCGGGGCTATCCTGTGGGGGCGGTGCGTGAGCCTAGGGGCGGGGCTAGCATCCTGGGGCGGAGCTCCAGGCGAGCTGTGAGTAGCTGCCGGCCGGTCCGTTAGGTGTGCATGGTCGGCTATGGCCTGGTGCGCTCTGTGGATGTGGCTGTCCCTGGCCTGGGCGGGGGCCGAGGCTTGGTTCTGGACTGCGGCGGACCCGGGGACGGCGGCTGCGGCGACGGGGCTGGAGTCGGCCGAGGCACCGGACGGGCTGTTCGCGGCGGGCGCCGCGGCCTACGCGCGCGGGGACTGGGCGGCGGTGGTGCTCCACATGGAGCGCGCGCTGCGCTCCCGGGCCGCGCTCCGCGCCCTGCGCCTGCGCTGCCGCTCTCAGTGCGCCGCCCAGAACCCTTGGGAGCCCGAGCCAGGGCCGGGGCCGGGGCCCGAGGCCGAGGCAGGCCGGGCAGCGGCGGCCCTGCACGACCTGCGCTTCTTCGGGCGACTGCTGCGGCGTGCCGCCTGCCTCCGCGGCTGCCTGGGCCCGCCCGCCGCGCACACCCTCAGCGAGGAGCTGGAGCTGGAGTTCCGCAAGCGGAGCCCGTACAACTACCTACAAGTGGCCTACTTCAAGGTGGGGCGGCGGCGGGGGGCCGAGCTGGGGGGGGGGGGAACCACGGTCAGGCCCCGAGGGAGAAAGAGCTCCCCAACCCTTAGAGAGAGCTGCTCCAAAGTAAATGCGCCGGCCTGGTAGGTGGTGAGCTCCCCATCACTGGAGGTCTTCAAGCAAAGGCTGCATAACCGCTTGGGCATATTACAGAGGGGACTGCTGTTCAGATACAGGATGGACTGTCTGTTTCCAAGGTTTCTTCCCACTCCTGAGGGTCTGTGGACTTAGCTGACGGGATCCCCCATTCCCTCCAGGCTACCTTAGGAAACTGACGGTATCAGAGCCTGAATGATGAGGGTTTTGAGGATGAAATGCAAGTGTGACCCAGACTTAAGTCTCTAGAGCTTGGAGGGGCATTGTCACTTCGAGCTCCTGCCCCAACCCAGAGATCCAGCCTGAGCTATCTGCCTACTGGCCTTAAAGCTAATTTAGTTGATGGTGCATTGTAGACAAAGTTGCAGGGCTTGGTTTCTGGCCAGTGCTTCCCCCTAAGTTTCTCAGCCCCATCTCTTTGCAAGCCTAGAAGAGGTAGAGGAACCACAAGAACAGTATCTTGCAGACCTTTTCTTGATTTTTCCTTTTCACTCCTTCCTTTTCCTAACACTCCAGCGTCTTCCGTTTCAGGGCCTGGAATGCCACGTAGCAGGCAGGGGGCCTCAGACTCCTCCCCGTTGGGGGGACCCTCTCAAGTTTCTGCGCAAAGTTAGAATACAGTTAGAAATTACAGACTACTAGCCCTGTTTCTGGGCTAGAGGTATGGTTTATTTCCTTCCCTATTCAATCACGCTGCTTTGACTTCACTAGGCTAGCCCTGAAGGGTTAATTCAGTAGTGCCAACCCTTCAGTTTAGTTCTGCAGAATATTAGGAGTGGTTCTATGAGGAGGGAACAAAAAACCACGGAGGTCTGGGGCTCTGGACAAGAGCTAGCAGTCCTGCTTATATGTTTCCAAAGTTCTTCTTTAAAGAACAGACTTTTAACTCAGCCTGCAGATAAGGCACAAAGAATTTGGACTCAAATGTCCATCTCCCCACGATATTTACCCTGAAAAAATAACTTTCCTTCTTTTCCTGGATCACTGCCCCCCCCCATCTTATAGATAATACAAAACTCTGCAAGATACACAGAATTCCTCTCCAAACTCACATCCCTTCGAAAACCTAATGATGTAACACCATAACCATAGGAAGGAAGGACAACTGCTGCTTCATGGGGGGGATATTTCAGTGCACAAGGAAGAAAAGAGAGAGAGGCTGGCAGAAAATCAAACAAAAATCCATCATATAAGGAAGAGTTCATCAGTTACTTCTAACAATAAAAATGAATCCTAGCCCTGCAAAGAGAAACCTTAGAGGTCACATCTAGTCCAACCAATATATGAAGACATATGAGGAAATTGAAGCCTGAAGAATTTAAGTGTTTTTTCCAAGATCACAAAGCTTGTTAGTGATGGAGCTAGAAGTATAACTCCTCTCCAGAATGGATTTTGGGGTAGGAATCCATTGAGCCAATTAAGCATCTGCCATGTGCCAGGCACTGTGCTAGTTACTAGAGATATAAAGAAAACATGAAATCATAATGATAGCTTACATTGGCATAAGACTTTAAGCTTCACAAAGTACTTTACAATTATCTCATTTGATCATCACAACTACCCTATTATGCCTATTTTACAGATGAGGAAACTGAGGTAGATTGTGGTAAAGTGATTTAGCTAACTGTCACACAGCTAGTAAGTGTCAGAGGCTGGATCTGAACTCAGGTTTTCCTGACTCCAGGTCTGATGCTGTATTCCCACCATGACACTAGCTGCCCTTAACTTTGTCAAGGAGCTTAAGATTTGTCAGTAACATATCCTGTTTCTGGATATACCCTGATCATTTAGTTCTCCCCACCCCCATTTTGTTTTTCAAAGTACTTATTAAGCCCAATGTCGTTCTTTAAGGCCCTATACCCATCTTTCAGTGTTTCTGTTCTTGGTCGTCTGTTCCTGATTAGAGTCCTGGAATTAGAAGATTGAGCAGTTATAAACATAACCTTTATTTTTCTTTTTAAAAGAAAAACATGCACTACTGAGTGAAGCATTGCCCCTCAAAGCTGATCAGAGAAACATCTCTGCCACCTTATGTTTGTCCCAGAGAAACTGCTGTTCCTTTTAGTTCCTTTCGATCAGAAGCATATAGAATAGGGCTGGCCAGCATCAGCTCATGCTCCTAGAAGGAAATATTTGGGCCAGTTGGCTAGAAAGACCCTGAGGATTTCTGCTCACCATTGGCTGTCCTCTTGGGTTGTAGTTGTTCATGCCTCTCTTTTTCTGTGTCCCTGACACGTCTATCAATCATTTGGTCAGTAAGGATTTACTAAGGGCAGCATTCACTCAGGTAATGAATGAGATGAAAAGAAAGGCAGAGACATGGTACCTGCTTTCCAGGAGCTCGTATTATGATGGAGGAGCCAACACAGGCTAGGCACGTACAAGCTATAAGAGGTAGAAGCGGTAGTAATCTCAGAGAGGACCAGGAAAGGTCTTTTGAAGAAAGGGGGATTTGAGTTCAGTCTTCAAGGAAACCTGGGAAGCCAGGAGGAAGGAGGAGGTGAAGAGAGTGTCCCAGGCTTGGGCAATGATCTAGTCTAGGGATGGAGTGTGTTGTACATGGACAGGCTCACAGTGCTCAATTATAGAGTGGATCAGGGAGGAAAGCTTGGCAGACTTGGAAGGTAGGAAGGATTGAGTTGTAGAGGGCTTCTAATGTGGAGTAGAGCTGTTTGTATTGGACTCTGGAGGCCATAGGGAGCCCCTGGCATTTGAGCAGGAGGTGGCATGGTCAGTCCCGCCCTCGATGACAGCTGAGGGGACTGGAGGGCAGAGCTGGAGGCAGGGAGTCCCATTCAAAGGGAGGCTGACTGCTCGGCACACTCAAGAATGGCTTCCGTTGCTTCACTTACAGATTAACAAGCTGGAGAAGGCCGTTGCAGCTGCAAACACCTTCTTTGTGGGGAACCCGGAGCACCTGGAGATGCGCCAGAATTTGGACTATTATCAAACAATGTCGGGGGTCAAGGAGGAAGACTTCAAGGACCTTGAGGCCAAACCCCACATGGTGAACCAGGGCCCCCAGCCTCCCTTTCCCTGCACCCTTTCTGTCTTGCCCCCTCTGTCAACAGGGAAGGCCCTCCCGTTCCTGAGAAGGGACCAGAGACCTTCTGAAAGTCCTTGTGCACTTCTAAACTGGGAAATTGTTGCTTTTAGGTACATTAGAAACTACCTGCAAATGGTATCTCAAGGCCAGTTTATTTGAGTTTGGTTCAGGTGGGACATAGTTCTGACGCACAGGACAGTGAGTTCTGATTTCAGATCCTGTGGCTAAGGGAAAAGACCTCCCTGGGTCAGTGGTGTCCTGGGGCAGCATTCACTGCTTCTTACCAGACCAGGTACAAGTTGTTTCTCTCAAACTGGCAGCCTAAATTATGAAAGCTGAAGAATAAAAAAATTTAAAGCTGCACAGGGACTTTCTGAAGACTCTTCTGCATTTTGTAAAGTGGAGCATGGCTTTAGGTTAATTGATGGACCTCCCTGAGCCTCAGTTTCATCTTCTGTAAAATGGAGATAATAATGCCTGAGTGCTTTATTATTATATAAAAGGCTCTTATGGGAGCTTTTTGTAATTATCAATCCACAAGTCTT